TGCTCGCTGGCAAACAAAAATTCAATGCTGTGAGATCACTATTATGCTATAGTCAGAAACATATTGTTTGTTGTTTAACGCCCTCTCGAGAAATTTTCACATTTATAGAGACGCCACCCCTAGCGGATGTAGTGCTGCAAATTTTAACCTATACTCGGCATTCAAGGCCATTGACTAATAAGGGATCTTTTTCATGCCAGCATCTACTGCGATACGGGAACTCGGTTTATACGGTCTCATCCGAAGAACCTGTCGTCCCGAAATGGGATTCGAATCCGCGACGTAAGGATCAGCTCCTTACTCTACAGCAGACTCTACCACTGCGCCAAGCTGGCGACAGGAATGTTTAAAATAACGGAAGAAAAAACAAAATTATTGTTTCCATTCAGTGTAAGACAGATTGTGAATACCGATACTGTAACACACATTAATTAAACTGACGAAGAAAATGCTTATCATTAATGTTGAAGTCGGAAGTTTGCCGTAGAGGAAGTGCTCAACTTTCCCGAGAGGTTGTTGGTGATATTATGGAAATCATAACTGATGAAGTTCTGAAATTATAATCCAAAAGGTAATTGATATGCAAGCTGCCATATAAATCCATACATGATGTATGTTCCACGTTGAACAGTAAAAGTCTGTCCGTAGCAATCAAAGAATCTATACGGTTTTTTTTTCAATGTAAACTGGTTCTGGAGTAAGTGCGGGTTAATTCAGCGAAATCTGCCTTCCGTTTGGAGATGCAAGTCCTGACAGGTTACTTAATATCCAGTAATTACATATCAACTCCTGCCTGCTTCGGGGCACGTTTAAGGTCGTCTTCCAGGATAACTGCGGCTTTAATGAAGTTTTCTTCTGCCATGTTTTCTTAGCTTAGGGTTAAAACTGACAGTCAATTCTGATCAACAATAATGATTTGATTTCCAAATCTCTCCGTCTTTCTCCGCTTAAAGTACAGCAGTTATACCGCTCAATTTAACGCAATGTAGAATTCAATTAGAAATCCGCCATTTACTCCGTTCTAAACTAGCATTCAAGCAGTCGATGGCTTAAAATTCGTAAAATCATGCAAACCGAGTAATGGACTTTTTTCCGAAGTGGTTTCGAAATTACTTTTTTGCTTTTTTTAAACTCAATTTACGATAATTAAATAGCTATAAAACACTGGCTTATGACAAACTCCTTTGGGCATCACCCATAATGTCTACTGTGCGCGTGTGCCTTTTTTCTACTACTGAACCCCAAACGGTCATTTTGGTAGAATCGATGAATTATGCATTGTTAAAGTTATTTTTACTAGAGTTCTCTCCGTGGTTGCGTTTCTTCTGTTTTATTATGTGATCTAATTTTGTTCATCTTCCAGACAGAACTTAAACTCAAATCCATGTTTTCCTTTCAACATGTATAAAACATGTGAAAGGTTCGAAGAAAATAAATACTAGAAAACAATGATAAAGAAAAAATGAACTACATAGATACAAAAGACGTACAAAGACTACAGATATAGATTAGGATAGAAATTAAATTATCCATGTTATCCAACTTGCATTCATGGAAATCTCAATTTTCCCCACATCCATTCACTCTCTCGTTTTCAATAATGCAGCATCTCCCACGATATAGGAGCAGTCACTGCAGATGAGGAATTGAATGTTGACACCCCGGAGGGGATGTGCATCCCGACTTAACGATTTACTACGCCAGCTTTATTGAATGAATTTAGGAAATATAACGATATTTCCGTGTCATACCATAGGGCTTAGTCACGTGGCGGAACAATTGTGTTTGGTTCTATTGTTACATCAGATTAAAATTTTATAATTTACCAGTAAAAATAATTTTGACTACATCTTATAATTCTGTATGTAACAAATATTTCATTAATGGCGCGCATTGCACATAAAAATATAATTCAAAGATACAAAGATAGTATAACACGTACGGAAACAGAAGAGGACATTACAGAATTTCAAATTTATAATATATATTATTTATATGAAGAGTATTATCTGTGTTTGAAACAAATGACCAATAATCACCATAGCCTAGAATCTCACTTATGCAGTTTATGTTTTAATTTCTTTTCTCAGTAGGCCCTATAAAATCAATCTTGACCAACTTTTGTTGGCAGAGTCCTTTTTTTCGAAAATGAAGCACTCGGAAGCTCTCCAGACCATTTATAAATGCCGATTAAGTGTTCCAATAACACAGGTCCGGAGATCTTGAAATACTGAGACTTTTATCTTGTGTGTTAATATCCGGAACTTGAAATGTCAAGATGCCCGATACCACTTCTTGAGTATAACCAGGTTAATATCGCATAAATAGGGTACTACAGAAATCCGGCATTCCCCAAGTCTTAGAAAAATCCAATTTTGGCTAATCAAACATTGAGAGACATCTGAAAGAGAGCAGTCAGAAACTGCGCCAAACTAGTTTTTCTGAAGACTAGATACGTTGTACGCTTTACAAAGCTAGAAATCATCACTTCCGTTGCTTTCAGTTTCATCAGTAATGCAGCTCAATTTCAAACATTAAACATATCTATTTTTCTGTTTCATTATAAGCTAATGATTTTGGCCAAAAAAAAAATCCTTCGAGATACAAAGCGAAACTTAAATTGAATGTATATATGTTAAACTTGTGTCGCTCGCTATATATACATGATTGAAGGACAGATGATACAAACTTTTGTCAAAACATTTGAAAATAACAACTTGTTTCATGATTAAATGAGTAAAATGAATAATTCTCACTGCGTAGTTTTTAATTTTTCATTCAAATTTTCACAAAAATGGAATTTGAAGTGAAAATGTTTTGTTTAGAACTATAGATTAATAAGGATGGTTTCAGAAGGGGTGACTTGTGACCATCACAGAAGGTTTTACAATTTCTTTATATTCTAGAAATTTAGTATTTTGCATTATTTGCAATGAAATTAGAACAAAAATATATATCAATACAGGCATCCATTTTTTGTTTGTATCATCTGTCCTTAAATATATATGTATTCAATAATTCAGAAGTGAAAAATTAGATAGATTAAATGGTCAGTACGTACTGGGACCTGCTGAAAAAGCAGGTAATAACATTGTCTTTGTTTGTAAGGCTCATTATACAAATTGTGTTTTAGCATGATTACAGGAACTTGGAATTAATTCTACTAGTTTCAATCCAACTTATACTCATAGTTCCTTTTCTAAGGAAGAAATTCTTTAAAATCATATGTCAGTTTTGGATGTGGATACTTAAAAATTCCAAGGAACTTTTGGATAATGCTAAATCACAAATTTTAAACAAAATCTACAGATTAAAAACTTACGACTTTTCAACTTTATATACAACTATTCCCCATGAAAAATCAAAGTCCATGCTTTTTGATATCATTGACAGCTGCCTTTTCAATAAAAATGGAACTCGTTAGTTTACTTACCTTGTCATTGGTCATTTGCAAAATTTTATTTAAAAACATTCCGATTGTACACACAAGACTCTGAAGTTGACATAAAAAAGATGCTTGGGTTTCTGATTGACAGTATCTACATGTGTACATGTATGTAGTTTTTTGAGACCAGGTCTTCAAATAATCTTTTGGAATTCCCATGAGTACTAACTGTGCCCCATTATTAGCATACCTATTTTTATATTCATTTGAAGCAAAATATGTCCAAAATCTTATACGTACGTGAAAAGAATAAAACACTTCCTGTGGTCTTCAACTCGACATTTAGATATATCGACGACGTCGAAAAAAGAAATAAAGAACATGAATTTGACGTATTGTCAGTTAACAATGGTTATTTCCATTCCTATGTCGATATAATATATCCCGGTGAGCTTGATATAAAAGATACCAAAGAGTCTGATACACCTGTTTCATATTTAATTAGATATTTTACTTGAAAAAAAAGTTAATGGTAATCTAATTCATTCCTTAAATAAATATTTCATGTTATACTCAGTAATCCTTTTATCTCTGCAAAGAGCGACTGATGCTGTCTGTGAGCTTTGTACATGTAATAGAAAAATTCAAGAGCACGCTCAAAATATAATGTATCAACCCAGAAAGAACAATGTCAGTTTTGTTTGTTTTGATATTTTTTTTTATTTTGAGAGGATACAAATAAATTAGTTTTTTTTTTTATACATGTGATGATCGAATACCATTATCATTCAGACGAGCAGAATATTAAGATGTTTTAACGTCATAATGAACAGCTTCATCATACACAGACATCATCACTTTCCCCAAACTTTCTCCATTAATCAAGAATTACAGATAGAATCATCGGGATGGAGATTAAACATAAATAATTTCTGATGCAAACAAATAGCAGAATTGACTTCGTCTTATCTGGACATAGTTATGTATATGTCACGAAGATAAAGTCGGGAGTTCCTATTGATGCCGTGCTAACCAGATGTATCAGATCTACTGTCTTATAGACCTTGTCGCTATCTGAATGCAACAAATAGAAATAAAAGCAGCAAAATATACCTCCCTCTATTATTTATAAACTTTCTGACGGCAGAAATTGATACGAAAGTATCTCTCAAATCCAAATTGAAAATGCATTTCTTTGTTTCCTAGTTTATTTGATGTATATTTTATCACTGTAAGAAAGGGTTCGCATTTGGGTATAATTTTTGGTCGATAAATGAGGCCAAGGGTGGGCGAGACTTTTTATGTCATGTTTGCACTTTCACGTTTTATGAGCAGAAGTGAGGAATTTTAAGTACCCTAACCTTCGATCGATACCGGATTCTGGCTAAGATGTGCCACCTGTTCAGCTTGTCATCTGTCCGTACCATAGACAAAGGAACTTTCTGACGTGGTGATTGTGATACGTCAACATCAGGCGTGGAGAAAATCAGAGAGACGTCAAATAAAGAGTCGACAAACAAGGGGTCCGAATAAACAAACAAAAATAGCTCAGAGAGGAAAAGTATCATTTCCAGACATATCATATATATGCCCCAGCTGCCCCATGACAAAAGACTTGAAGAAAATTTTTATTTATTATATATTTTAGATACAGTAAAAATAAAGAGACATAACAAATATAATTTAAATATAACAAAATGATCTTATTGTACAAACTTCGGGCAGGAAAAAATAATCTTTACAACAGATAACAGAATACACGCTGGTAAACACTGGTACAACTTTCACACAATAATTATGCTTGTATTCCTTATGATATATGATGCAGATTACTATTATCTGATGATAAATGCACTGTAAATCTTCACAATTCCTAGATTTCTGTCTAAGTAGCTTCTTTTTGAATTTCAGTAGAATGACTGTGTAATTGGCCGGTTAATATTTTGCCATTGGGAGTCCTATTCATTACACAGCACATCCTGCTTTCATGTTTGATTATTTTTTATCGCTCTTTGCGACATCTGTAGGAAAACAATTGTCGTTCCAGACAAACCGATCGCTACTGTCGCCATCTCTAATAATCACTTGGCAAAAACGCCAGATTTAAGTGTAATAAAAACCACACACACTTTACATAAATCTACTGGCCAATGATAAAATTTTGTCGATAATAACAAAATTCACCATGAATAATGTTCGATAACGTCGAGTAATCCGCGCGACTTGTTCATTACGCAGCATTCTCCAGCTTCCGGTAGAGTCTCACGTGACTAGAATTGATGAATTATTTTTCGGGGTATCAAATAATTCTAGCCGTTTTCCATTTGCATTAAACCAGCTATCACAGCTAATATGAAAAAATTAAGAATGTCCATTTGAACCTCACTTCCGGTGTTTTTCGCTAAAGCCTGCACTTTTTTGCTCTCTGAAATGTGAATAAGGAAAGAAAGTTAAATATCTAAGAAAAAAAAAAAAAACATATGCAAACATCACATAAAACCTACTTTACAACATCCTTCCTCGGTATTAACAAGAATAAGCAACTATCACCCTTTAACAACACGTGATTAGAGAATACTTTTAATCTTTCATATCGAGTTTTAAAATAAGCCTATTTCAATAAGTAGAAAGCATTTCGATTACAAAACGTACCGAAAAGAAACCGAGAAGAAACAGAAGGAGTCCGAGGGACCCCGCGAAGGTAACGTGTGGAGTCTGGTGACATATTAGAGAGCTTCACTCTGTAGGGGACATGTTTTGGGGTCAAAGACTATTTATCTGATTTTTCACAATTTGTCAGGAAGTATTTGAATTGGGTCTTCGAGTGATAAAGCATTATTCATTATATGATAACAAACATCTCCCATGTAACGTGCGACAGCTAAAATCACTTATAACTTAAATAACTTTCAATTTAGCTGGTCTAAATTAGCTTAAAACGTAAATGAAAATACAATAAAATATTAAAAGTTGGCACAATGTGTAAACAAACCTTTCGGGTCTGAAAAGACCTCGGCGAATGGGAACACGTAAGGGCTTCCGTACACGCCTTGGGCATGCTTTATAGGAACTCAACAATATACCAAACCATCCTTATCCTTATAGGCACTTATCGGCCAACAAAGTCACTCTAATGTACACCGTTATTGGTGGTTTTGAAATCAGTGTAAGTATGCTAACAATAATTGTGTCTAACTCTACGTATAGCGATGTTTGTTAATAGAACTTAAGTCTCAGTCAATCGAACTGTTTACTCACCATCATCTCTCCTCTTCTGATTTTTCTTTGCTGCCAAAAATAAATTAAAAAGTTTTCATATCCGCCCAGGCAAAAGTTAAGAATGTAAAACATAATAGTGCAGTTATTGCTTTTTTCTGATGTATGGCATCGAGTAGAATTGGCACTAAAACGTTCAGAATCGGGTGCCATTTTCGGCGACCTTCACAAAATCTTTTTTTTTGTAGGTCTAAATAATTTTTACAAGAGTGTTTTATAATTCTTTCTTGGTTTATTTTCTTGTATAGACTTACTGTTTAGAATCATGACCTCTGCACTGATTGTAGGCATTACTTTGTCAGTGTAGGTGGTACTTCTGCAAATGTATCGTCCTTGATCTCTCATCTCCGTTCTATTTATAACCAGGGAACTCAACAATGAATACGGATGCTCCTCCCGAATAAGCTTTGTTACGACGATTCTCCCCTTCCAATGAGCGTCCCGGTTGGTCACAAGGTTTCCTTCAAAAAACCAATCGATTGCGTCTGGGGGACCACGTGACCCAGTAGAGTTGCATGTCAAGGTTAAGGGGTCGTATAAATTAACGATTTTATTGTCCTTCACGCCAACCATTTCTATCGCTAAAAATTAATCAAATATACAATTAGAACTGAATGTAAATGAAAAAAATCAACTAAAACAATGCTTTAAATATATGACGCCAGCAAACAATGAAATCATTTTTGCAGTTTTATTATGTTACGTGATAGTAGTCCCGAAATATATCCAAACATGGTGCATATTACTGCATCAAATTCTAAAGGGTAACAAAGCTAATTTGAATCATATGAGAAGAATCAATAAAATATTGTAGAATTCCTAGAAACTGATATTTCTAAAATTGTTTAGAATGTCTCGCATTACGCGGTGCTGTTGATATTCACACAAGAGAATGGACTAAATAATTTAGAGCGTGGAGACTTGCACGGCGGTGTCTTGTGTTTGGTTTGTGTGCTGTGATAAAATTGGTAATAAATTACAATTACTTTATAACTTATCCATCAAATTTATTCATAATTGATGAAAGCATTCAAAAGAATAATAATCGGACACAGCTGACTGAGAGATAGATATTGGTCAAGATGTCTATTTCAGCCAACGTTTCGTCTAGACCGGGTCAGATAATGAGGGGTGAAATTCTGACAAATTGATCATCTTAATATAAATTCAAGAGCCTCGTCTTCGAGTAATTCTTTGATGATTTACTACTCATCTGAAAATATTTAGAGTACCATCCGCTTCAGTTAGCAGTTGAGTTTATTTTTACGAATTGTAAAAAGATCATCTATGAGTGCGTTATACCTTTGGCAAAGTTCTTTCCTACATAATTGAAACCTAACTTAAAATAAGGTACACTAAGTCTAACTTACATCATCAAACACGTAATAAATTTTGAATTATCTAGGTTCAATATAAATTTGTCATTTGATTAATCAAAGCATTTTTTCCAAGATATCAATCTTTTAAACCTCTTCACTCCGTTCATTTTTGGAAAAGCTATACTTTTAATGTGTTTTAATGAAAATCTACTTACAGTGTTCAAGGAAGAGTGGAGAATCTGTAATAAATAAAACAGATTAAACAAAATAAAACTGATGTGGAGGGAATTATCACGTGAACTATATAGCGAGATCAGGGAAGCAAGGAAAAAGTAAGGGAACAGAGAGTGGTAAAAAGAGTATTATATAAACTCCAGGAAAAAAACTTAAATAAGAATTAATAATTCTCTATAAAGCCTTTATAACTTAAAACTTTTAAGAAAATTATATGACTAAAGTAAAATTACATTTCAGTGAGTACTATAAAATTTTTCTATCACCATTTTTCTTGAGAGTTCTTTGTGAATGACATTAAACTGTTTTACAATTTTTTAAATCTGATTTCTATAAATAGATCTTTCTTACCTAGCACATGCAGGTGAACATCAAAACTTAGTGGTATCTTTGATGTCACCTGACATTCGTACACACCGGAATCGGACGGTTGCGCATGCTCGATGACTAGGTTCCAGGATTGGGACGATCTGGAATGTTTTTCGTATTGTACTCTGATATTCTTCTTCTCTGGATCAAATATTTCAGTGTCTATAGCAAGGGGAAATGGATTTGGTTTTTTCACCCAAGCCACCTGCCAAAAGAACAAGATATTACATTTTCTGGTTATAATTTCACCTTGACCATTGCACGTTTAAGATTTGTCTTTCCAATTGTATACAATGAATGCAAACCAGAAACAGAGTAGATGGAAGGATCGTTATAGAGTCCCTTTACTTGTTTGCTTCTCCATCTTCAAAAAATTATTTATAACAGACTCAAACGAGGTGATTTTCAAAAGTCTAAGCTCTGCAGTGCGAGAAACTGATATATTTGAACCATTCAGAAAGAGATCGTCAAACGTCAGTTACTGTATTGTTTATTACCAATAGTTAATTTGGCTTAATGGCTTAAAATTTTCCTCGATTACAAAGACATAAATGTCTCATCGTCGTAAATATCGTCGTTACTAAATTTAAAATTCGTGAAGTTTTTTTTTTTTTTTGGGTAGAAAGCATATGCATGTACCGTAATGACATCTATTTCAGGGAAGTGGAATTCCATAAAAAAAACTAAGATGTGGACATTTATATCAGGTCGTAAAATTTATTGGATGGAGGTAAATGCAAAATTTACGACATGATATTAAGATATTTCAGATATCATTTTGAATGAAAAAAAGCTGAAAGTTCTTAATTATGATTTAATACGCTAACAGATATGAAATACATTTGTCCTCCACTATATCCGAGATAGAGTGTTCCTTCTCCCTCTTCACGGACAGTTAAAGATCCCTGCGTAATCCTAAAGGATCCCTCACGTTTCAGTTTATTGTATTACGTTCAGAACTTTATTAGACAACTGCAGAACTCATTAATGGATACTTCCCCTGAGTTAGATTATATAAATTGTACATTGTGATATTCAGGAATGACGTTCATCTAAAGCAATCCTGACATGCTATCTGTCCGATTGCCGACGCAAATTGAAATATGTAAACTTTTGTCATCAATATGTCATAAATTACATTTACAAGAGCTTGCGATCTCTGTTTTAACTAGTTTTACCGAGCACACTATATTATTCTTTCCATAGACATCCCCTGATCTACTTAGATTTCGTTCACAATCCAAGATTTACACACATACACTAGACTTTTGTATATCGCCTTACATGTTTCGTCCCTAGGCGATTTGTATCTACAGCGAATTTATTGCACAGTTACTGAAATATTAAAAACTTTTAACGCACTAGCAACGCAATACAGAGGAAAAATTTACATGCCTCTTGAAATGACAGATCTTCCTTTTAAGAATCCAGTAGACACATTTTTGTTTGCAGTTAAAATGCACTATATCCTTCCACCCACGACAGGTCTATGTCTGACCAAGAACGATATAAACCGAACTTTTATTAAAGTTAAAATAATTGCTTGAAAACGATGTCGACCCAGAAGGAATATTGGAAAACAAACCATTAACCATATTGAGGTATATTATTTGTCGTCACATTGTCGCCCGTATAGGATAGCCTTAGTCCATAGAAATATGTTCTTAACTTTTTATTTTATAACAAAAAAATGATGTGTTTATTAGAATTTCTCTTATAAGATCAGTTTATAATCAATTTTATAAATCAGATTTCTTACTATGAGAGAATCAGATTCATTGCACCGGTTTCGAGGTGGTATGGGAGGACTATTGACAAGGAAGGTTTAAAGGTAAACGGGTATTAAAACTGTCAAAATTCTAAAATACTTTTTCGGGGGTAGAGGTTGGGTTCTACGGATGAGACCGTATTAACCGAGGTGCCAGTAGATGCTGGCAAGAAAAAAGATCCCTCATTGCTCAATGGCCCTAGGTGCCGAGTACAGGTCAAAATTTGTAACTCTCCACCAGCAAATGGTGGCGTCTCCATATGAGTGAAAAATTCTCGAGAAGGACGTTAAGCAACAAACAAAAACCCACTTAGGACTTAAGTGTGTCCCGAAATAAGTAACGTATACCACTAAGCCTTACCTGTTTGGGTCCAATGTTTTCTACTTTACACGCTAACTCGGCATTTTGATCTCGATGCACCGTGACGTTGTAACCTTGACCTGTATCCAGGAATCTTGGAGTGTCTGTATAATGGTAGGTTGGGCTACTGAAAACTAAAAATAATTCGAAATTTATTTATTTATAATTCAAATGAATATTTTCTTACAAAATTTGAGTTAAACTTTAAGAAACAATATAAATTCACAAGGCCTTTTATTATACATATAATATAGATTATCAAAAATTTAATATCGGCTATCTGTCTAATAAATCACGAGGTATCAACATGAAATTCACTTTCACCTTGAAATTTAATTAAATTTATGTACCGTTATTCGAATGCATTTAAAGAATTTTAAAGCATAATGTATATTTTCATTTGAATTAAAAGTTTCAACTTTGTTCAGCAATAGCAATATTATTTTTAAAACTATGTTAAACTGTACCATTTCTAAATTATGAAAGCTTTGCGGTAACTTTTTTTCCTTTTAAAATCGTGTCTTTGTGCTTTTGTAACATGCATAATTTTGTTCCGTGCGGGCGTAGAATCAACATGTTGAAAAATGTCACAATTGCCAATTAAAAAACAATAAACTGGGCTGTATTTGTGAAGATAAAAATCATGTCTAAAGCATAAAGCACATAATGATATGCAGGCAAGATATTAAAATAACACAGTTTGACAGAAATTTTCAATCATGTATCTCATTGAAAATCATTAAGACAGTTTAACAAAGGACTTTAACATGTCAATTTATCATTAATGTATTTTTGGATATAGAAGGCTGGAAATCGCCACAAGCCGTATATTACAGTGATTTACTTTGTATTGATTCAGAATTAAATTAACTTCGGTTTGACAGCGGTTCGTATACTGACACTTATTCCAGATTTCATCTGACAGTATAAGAATGGAATGTTTAATGACCTTTTAATGTGACCGACAACAAACTTAGACACAGATAGTTAGTCAAATTTAATATTTCATGTTTCCATTTATCAAAATAGGCGTTGGACAATAATTTAAGATTTACGATTCAAATATACCCACCAATACTTTACACTGAAAATTTAACTTTGTAGAAACATCACATATTCTGGACAAACGAATATAATACACGAGTGTCATTAATCGGTATGTAGGAAAAAAAGAAAATAAATACCCGGTAATAGAATCACATTTGTATTGCCTATATCTGACCTAATGAATGCATTTGATGTACGCCTATATAATAATTAATTAAGCTTTGTTCTTTCTAGAATAAGCATGTAAAACTTGCGCTTATATTGTACTCTAAATTTTCATGACATTAAACAGAACATCAAAATATGCATGTTATGAAGTATGCAGAAATCAAACGATAACTCGTAAGCTCATGATCCTTGGTATTCCAATAACAATTCTAAGTCAATTAAGATGAGTCATCAGATAAAGCTAATTTACTGGAAAAATAAACAATGCAATTGAAGAGTATAAGTAACTGCATTTGTTCGATTTGAAAAGCAGATAAAATACTAACTCGGGAGTTCCACAAAACACATATTGTTAATGTATAAAAAACACTTTTTCTAAAATAAAAGAAAAGAAGCATCTGTTCTGTTGTGATGTGAATACATTATACAATTCAATATTTGCTCGCTGACCCTGCCTTGACCCGGAAGCCGAGGGAGCTGAATATAACCCAAAAATTAAACGTTTCCTAAGATAGTCACGCTCATTAAGTAATGTTTCCGGATCCAATCTCTATAAAATCTGGAACTGTCAACATATGACAATGTCTCGTTATGGAGTGTTGATTCAGTAGTCGCCGAGGACCAGGGCTTTATTGACTTTTTGTGTTCCGGGATTAGCTGTAGTAATGGAACCAAACGTTTCCTATGCTAACCTTATGGACATGAAAGCCATCCCTGCATGGGTGATAACGAGACAGCAAATGAAACTTTGGACAAGTTTGAATTAATATCAACAAGAGTGAAATTATTAGTGCCAATATCATTCGAGTTAAATGTAAGAAATATATTCTTGTGAAAAACTCTTAAGCAAGAAGTCAGAAGAATCCCACTAGGGCAAATTCCTACAAAATTTCGAAAGTCGGGAAAGGGGCGTGTCCATGATGTCGACTGTCAAAGAACTCGGTGTAATGAGGAGGATAAAATACACGTGTCTTAAGTTTATATATAAAGAGAAAGTAACATTAAGATATCAGCCTTTATCAATAAATCTGGGTTCCACACGTGGTTGTACGAGAAGAATTAAAGACATGTATACAAAGTTCATATACTTCTAATCAAAACCAAGGGAATATGATTAAACAGATTTTTGGCAAGCCCTATAGAACAAAAGCATTCCTGCCAAATTCTCTGTCATGTACCGAGTTCTATCCTATGGAAGACACAGTAACAGAGTATGAATGTCCAAAATTCATTGAATGATCCCGATTTCCACAAATCATTCAGAAATCTCGCCTTGATCTCATTTGTTTCTTACGCTCCAGCATTTATTATTAAATCTTTCATCGCAACTTCTGATCTGTCTACACTGCAAAAAACGGATGCTTCTATAAAGCTCGCTGGGAGGTCAAGCAAATTCAGAAGCAAAAAAGTATCCGGATCCAGAAATCTAGATATATCAGTTTCTTCCGTACCCCCATAAATAAATAAAATTCTTTGACAAATCCACGAAAACTGACAAATTTTCCCTTCTTCCCTTTCTTTGAAAAATGAACAATTTTACAGATAAAATTTCTAGATGTAACAACCTAAATTTTCGAACGAATTGAAAATACGATCCAGTGAACAGACGATGTAAAAAAAAAAATTATTGTGCATTCAAATAATTTAATGCACATTTTAGCCTGTTTAAATTTCTCCCTTTTGAATAAATATTTACATTCCAGTGCGATTCTAGCGCGAAATCTCTCGGGAGAAAGTAAAAACACTTCAGATGATAAAAGTGATAGTTTAATTAAATTAAGCACCATCTTACCTCCTAAATTTAGCACAGCAATCAATGAATAAATATACTTCCAAGCTTCTAATGTACATATCATTTTAATAAATCTTTTCTGCCGAATTCACAACAGTAAAAATCGGATCGTCCCTGGCCTTTTCTGAGTAAAAACAAAACATGTTCACAACACAAATATCACGACTCAATGTCTGAATTCATCCACCTGAAATTAAGAAAAAGGTAAAATAAGCCCAGATAACATCAAACACAGCTAAATATGTATTTATAATTCTTCAAGGGCCAGATAAATAGGGAGCCGGGTTATATGAGAAGACGTTCTTAATCTACTTAAGGACCAGTGTGTTTACCGAGAAAACCAGTGTTTGGACTATGCTGTATCATAAATTATACCACCAAAAGTAAAAGAGATCTCAGGGGGATCTGTTGATCGGGTCTTATGTGCCTTACATGGAAATCAAAATTAGAAATAAAAACCGGATCACAATGTAACCATTACAAATACAGAAAAGGTGGTTTGGAGCCACTAGGGGGCAATATGTCCCATATAGTACAGTCTCTTTTGGAAGACAAGTGTCCACTTAAAGAGCAAAAGTAAATTAATACCTAATTAAACCTTTAATAAATTCAGAATGAATTAATACTTCAGACATCAGGACACCAAATTAATCCCAAACACGTGGAGGGTAAAAGATCGAATTTTAGATTAAAATAAAATGCTGAAAAACAGGACATACCTAAAATACATCGGACCCAGTCCGCTAAGGGGCTCTTGGATATTCCTTTTTAGATCACAGAATGTTAGTAACTTAGCCTGTTCCGTGCACAAAAAGATTGAATTACACAGTCCTGTTTTCGTGTTGATTCACAAGATACAATTTAAACTGTGCGGGAACGTTTTTAATGATTCAAGTATGACTCGCAATAGGGGCGTTCTTACGGCATGTCAATCTGGCAAATTATATTCACATAACATCGATTGTCGGACAACTGGGTTATATATATACAAAAATATCTCAAACAGACTTATAACATGACAGTCAAAACAGCCATAGAACTTTTTTTCACAGATGTGTTAATTCAATTTAACAAAGCAAGAAATATTTAATCGTTTTACAATCTTTTTATACCAGCTGCCAAATTATTATAACCATGCACTTGCTGGTAATAGGATTAAAGCATTTTATGCTAACTGTTTGTTTATATTGCCTATACTAATAACAGAACGGGTTGTTTTCAATCACAATAACTATATAAACGAAGTTGGGGATTATTATTATTATTATTTTTCTTCTTCCTGGGAAAATTTTGTCCACGAGTGATCTTGTAAACTGACTTAGGTGAAACCTTTTTAGGGTTAGTAGGCATGTTATGTAGAGTTGCCAAACAAAGGTCATTTTGCGCTCACGTGCTTGCAAGAGCGCGCACGTGCATTAGGTGAAATTACCAATATAATGTATATTGCCGTAACTTTTCTATTTTTTGATGAAATTTTTTGAAACTCATAATGTAAGGGTACATTAGTAGTATAGACAAGATAGCATGGTCAAAAGCAAGATTTCACGCGCATGCACGTGCGCTTTGCTCTGATTGGCTGAAACTTAAGTATCAATTACTTTCTTGTTTCTTGTCATAATCCTTTGAAATTTTGAACATAGTCCTACATTATAATGATCTACCGCATGATATATAAGAATTTTCATGAAAGCATGCGCATGTGCGTGTGCTGCAAGCTGATTGGCTGAAACTTTAAATGGCTATATCTCCTTTGTTTTCTGACGAAATTCTTTGAAATTTAAAATACAGTCATGCATTGGGATATCCTACAAAATGATATACAAAAAAAATCATGAAATCACGCGCATGCACGTGTGCTGCAATTTGATTGGCTGAAACTTTAAATTGCTATTTCTCCTTTGTTTTTTGACGAAATTCTTTGAAATTTAAAATATAGTCATGCATTAGGATATCTTACAAAATGATATACAAAAAATCATGAAATTATGCGCATGCACGTGTGCTGCAATCTGATTGGCTGAAACTTTAAATGGCTATAACTCCCTTGTTTTTCAACCAAACAGGATGGGATTTAGAACATAGATAGATGTAAGGGACTCCTACAAGAAGGTATGATCATCATGCACGTGCACACACGTGCGTGCATTTGAAACGAGTATATTTAAAAATACTCTTGAAAGACAAGATGATATGGTCATAACGCACATGCATTCACATGCGCTTGGGTGCAATGCTAAAAATTGAATATAATTGGTATCCTTCTGGAAAAACGTTGTTAAAGTCAAAAATGCACAAAGTTTGTCTTATTTAATGAAGCTTACATGGAATATGGCACCGAAAGGGAGTTGGGGAGCATTTGGGGAACATCTGTAACGGTTCCCGTTACAATTAGCACTAGTTAACAATAACTTTGATCGGGAAGGCGAATAGTTACTTTGGCATGGAAAGAAAGCAGAATTAAGGGGCTAAATAAATAGATATCATTTTGAAAGATTGTGTGAAGAGACATTGGAATTTCCGAAGGTTTGCATTCATTTTGAGAAATAGGTGATATCGAGAATTCATTTTGCTTCACTTATCAAGCAGAAAGAAAAAGAGTAAAGGACTAGGTAGCATTCCTCATCAAACTTGTACAAAATGATGTTTTTTTTCCCATTTGTTGGCTACAACAAAAGTGCTTACAATATCAGAAACTTCCCAAATTTGTTTTTCTCGATTTTGCCTCAGTGTAGCGAATTGAGATCCTGACCCTGTTTTGAAGTATTTTATCGATCAGATTTTTTCTCCTTTAATAGCTTTTTGTGATAGTTTACTTTTTACGCAATTCTGTCACTAAATCTGTGTTATCTAACAAGCAGAAAAAACCTACAGTTTAGAAAAGCTCTGTTTTTTGACATGCGGTCACTTTAACGACAAAAATAGCGTCACACCAATTGTTCGCAGCCGAGTTGTCAAACCCCAAAATATTGAACGTCGCCTTATGTACTTAACTAAGAGTTTATTGATAACGCTGAGAAAATTCAATTTTACACCGTTTTGCCATAAGTTTGAATCACTTTTAAAAGTCACTAAGTACAAATTGACGACCTGTTGTCCGAGTTCAAGGCAAATGCTAAAGCAAAATGCTAGAAAATTTTCATAACTCTACGGAAAATTTAAACGATAATTTACAAGATGAAAGAGTCCAAAGCCTAAGACAAACTACCCAGGCAGAGTTCAGAACCAAGGTATGGCAAACTACCCAATGTTAAAAAAAATAGAATATTGTTTAATAGCCGAGTATAACTGTTTTTAAAACTGTTCACACATCCGAACACCAAATATGAAACAACCATTACTTTTTATACTGTTCACACATGACACGGCTTTACGTATCCGACAACCACTACTTTAACAGTTCACACATTCGAACACCACCAGATACATGTATCAAACAACCATTACTTTTAATATTGTTTAGACATAGGACACCGCCACATCTTAGTGTTCACATGTATATCGGACAACCATTACTTTTACCACACAAGAACACCATTAAATCTTAGTGTTCACATATCGGACAACAACTACTATAAATACTGTTCACACATCTATCTTAGTGTTCACTCTTTCCACTGAATGCTGTTTATAAACCAGTCACAATAAATAAAATTTTTAATATTTGTCTCATTCACAAAGGAAATTAAGAAATTTTAAAGCCTGCTTGTGTATTTTTTCCCTTAATTTATAACACACGATGTGTTACACGTACTTTTTAAAAAAAAATAATTTACCTTAAGGAAGAGAAATGTAAATATTTATACATTATGAATGATTATTTCACCGTTGGTTAAAGGTTCTATCTATTGTAGTTTTTGTTTATGCTTCAATACTGAATTTTTCAAAGAGGTATCTTGAAAAAATGTTCCAAAGCCATTCTTCATTTTTCACCATTCTTTCTTGCTTAATATTAAATTCTCGTTAACAAAAATAATATTTATAGAAGAAATCACCCCATCAATCTATTCTCTTTGTTTGACTTTGTATTCATATCCCCTTTGTACCTGGTTCGATATTCGGATCGTTGAAGGACATCGTGCAGCCTCTGCAGCTGATCGGAAATCTATCATTCTGCGAACATTTTTTCCCACAGCCATACTTACAAATGACCTTGCTAGTTCTGATTTATCACTGCGGCGTCGACAGACCGTCTTACCATGCAGACATGATTTCAAACATATTAATTAATTAATTCTTTTTACGGCCATAAAATTATAATAAATATATGTGGGTCACGTCCATTTTGTTATTTTCGACAGAATTATTGACAGGTCGATAATATTGGAATAGAATAGAGGTTTCTTTATCTTTTTTTAAAGTACTTGTACTGTATATATTTTAGTCATAAAGAAATTTAATGTTTACATTCATCAAATTTTATGATTCTATATATGTAGAAGAGTTCTGGCTATAAATAGTAATTTAACCGATCCAAAGCAGTTAACGTGACTACTTAGACGGAGGACACTGCATGCATTGCATTACTGGAATTTCTGCATATGTTGTCAAGGTGTATTACTTAACAGTTTTGTTTAACCTTAACATTAATATTGTTAATCAAAATATCACAAGCAGGGGCGACACATAGAGTTCAAATGGTTTGGTTTAAAATGGAAGAGCTTCGTATAGACAGTTTTAAAAATATAATCTTCGAGGACGAAAGAAGAAATCTTTTGATCCACACTCATTTGAAATGTACACAGGTTTTTTGAAAAGGTAAAGCTTACCGTTATTACTAAGGGAAAAGAAAACAGAAAGTAATTTAATGCCATTATGTGCCGTCTAATTCGTTTTTCATATTCTGATATATTTACATTCGTTCTTAATGGTCATTTACCGATTGTTCATCCAAAAAGCTTTCAGACGCCTCCACAATAGGACTGTTTTGATATTCATATGGCATGCTTCCTATTCACAAGGGGTAAAAAGGACCGTCTTCATTTTGTGGTGGTCTACAGTATGGCTAACTAGATTAAATTTTTGTCTCCTTGGCAACATTATCTCTTAAGAATTGGTGACCACGGGTGACAAACGAGAACCGTCGTATATAATTCACTAAGACTCTATAAAACCGGGGGCATTGTATAATGCTCCAAAATATTGAATACCTGATTAGGAATATTAAATCAATTTACCCAAATTTGCCCATAAATAGCTAAATTTAGCACCCTTCCCCTGATCCCGACTTTGATGACTATTTCACAGTTCCCTGGGTCTTTTGGGCACTGTCGAACCTGTTCATCGCGTCTTTGAAGTTAGGCTGCCCTAATGACAATGCCGACCCAACTGGGGTGATATACAAGGGGTCAATCAAGCTAAATCGATATACATCTGCTTTATGGTTGACGAATTTCTTACCCTCGGTTGTTGCTATTGTCGTTGTTCACTCTGATCCTAATCGATATTCGAGTAGATTGTGTGATAACCTTACGCAGCATGTGCGCTAGCTTCTCAATTCATTACACGATCAGTATCTAGATTGAGACTTTGATATTAGGTTTTACACTTCGCCACTACATTAGTTAAAAACCGTAACGGAATTTCCAGTGGGAATGTCTTTTAATCTCCCGTTTAAATATCAATTACAATAATAAAAAAAAATGTTTTATAAGGGGTTAGACCGAATTTTTTACCATATCATTCTTTATTCATAAATATTTAAGTAAAGAGTCTGTAAAATAGTTCATGTAAAACAAACTTATCTTTATTGTGAAGGAAATTATTTTTAAAATTTTAGCGACAGCAAACTACGTTCTTCTTTTTTGGCTAGAATGCACATGCTCGAACTTACGCTAAGGCATACTGAGGAAAAAGTAAAAAGTATGATGTTACTCCCGTA